CCCGAGTTCGACAAAAGAAGCTTGTTTAAGAGAACAACCAAAGAAGCTCTGATTTCTTCGTTCGTTAACCCTTCAGTGATACCTAACGAGCTTCTTTTGATCAATTGAAGCGTTTTATTGCAAAATCTCTCGATCGCAGAAGAATCGATTCGTACATTAGCGACGCCGGAAGCAACCTTGTAAACGGAGGAAGAAGAGAAAGCAGATCCTTTCCCTCCGAGAGTGATCGTCGATCTCTCAGCCGCCATTATCGCACTTGCAGAGAAAACGCAAAGCACGAGAGAGAGAAACAAAATACAGGTTAGGGTTCTTGTTTTTGGGCCTTTAAGTTTCACTTTGTAAGAATCATTTGGGCTTAAATTTTAACCTAAGGGAACCATTTTGGGCCTTTAAAGTTGGGATTTCAAAAAAGTAACCAATAATAGTTGCAATAATCCTTGAAAGACATTAAACTCTTTGATAGCAATTAAAGAAGACAAAGCTCCCCTTCAAGATTCAACAAATCAAGAACCATTTTTGTCTTTCTAAACCGATAATTCGATCTGAGAAACAAGGATACCATCGGTATCTGCGTAAAGCCATTCGCCATCGCAAATCCGAGTGCCTGCTATGTTCAATGGAACTCTTTGCTCACCAAGTCCTTTCTTACTAGCCTTTATAGGATGAGAAGCTAAAGCTCTCACTCCAATGTCGCAACCATTGATCTCATCAACGTCTCTGATGCAACCGTTCACTATGATCCCTGCCCATCCGTTGTTCTGCGCTTGTACTACCGGGTTTCCTCCAAGTATCGCACAACGTAAACTCCCTCCACCATCTACCACAAGAACTCTTCCATTGCCTGTTTCAAGATTTTAAACATCAGTGAGTTTTGATGTGAAAGAACACAGAGAACAGATTGGTTTATAGTAAGAAAAGGCTCGGGTTTCGAAACAATCATCTCGTCTCTACTCTCTTAGTCACTAGAATGGTTTAGGCTACTCAAGAACTAGGTAAGCTCAAAGGTGAAATCTTTTGATCATTTAAACATCCTGCACACCCTTGACATATCATCATCGTCTACAAAAGTTCTTGGTGTTGAACATACAAAGACAAATTTGGTCTATTCTAAGATCAAAGAATCGTTATCACGAAGCTTATTCCTTTTAACATCACAAATTATCCATTTGTATAACACACTGAGAGTCTTAGAATTCTTCAAGCATAGCTTTCGCATATAACTAGATAAGTAATTAAGTCTAAACAGAATACCAATTAAACCATGTCAATGATCCAGTCTCTCTATAGATAAAGTTTCAGTCTTTTGAAATTTATTTAGCAAGAAATCACACTAATCAATACCTTTCTCTTCGAGGAACTGACGGATCAAGCCATTGTCTTCAAATACTTTGACAGTAACAACTGGACCTGAGAATATTTGACGACGACCGTAAATCTGAAAAATGGGTTGCAGAGCTCGGAGCTGGCCACTACGAATCAGCTCTTGATTCGCGTCACAAACTTCCGCAGTCGTCACAAACGCCATCTTTTGTTCTCGTACCTGGATTCAGAACTATGATCAAAACTAGTAATCTGGGAACTGATTATATGAGATTCAAGAGAAATCGCAAAAATCCATATGGCAAAACACAAATCGAGATTAATCATATATTTACGGTCAAAATCGATCAAACGAACGAACCCAGTAGGAAAATTACAAACTTTATGATTCGTTCACAAAGAAAACCATCCAAATTCCATGTAGATATAGAAGGGGATTAGATCGAGTCTAATTTTCATTTACCTGAAGCAGAAGAAACTCGGATCAAGAAAAGAGAAAAACTCTGTGGGCTCAAGTCTCAGAGAAGAGAAACCAAGTGATGTTTTTAAAAGAGAACAAAGACATAAACATTGGTCATTTCATAATAATAAATTTTAACTTTATAATATAAATCAGATCGAAAGTAATTGTCATTGTCAAAAACGAATCTTTGCTTGCTTTACTTTTCTCTGGTTTCGACTCTGTTTCTCTATCTTTTCTAAGCTTGTTCTAGTTTTTCTGTCAAAAACGAATATTTGCTTGCTATTTTTTTGTTACACATCTCAGTAACAATGCAAAATTTAAGCTTGGAATATTAAATGATCAATCATGAATTCTCAAAAACAAGGAAACGAAAAACTTTGTTGCCTGTTTTGCTTGGAATGTCTAAAAGCCTCCCTTCTCTCAATTAATTGTTATCAGCACAAAATATCAAGAAGAGAAAGAGAAAGATGGATCCAAAAACTTAAAAGGAAGATTTCAGAGTTTGTGGATGGTTTTCATGTCGATAGCTTCACCCAGTGTTCCTTTCTGAACATGATCCCACCACTTCATCAAGAAATTGTCCACCACCAATCTGAACCACGGAGACAGTTTCAGACCTTCCTCCCCTGCATCTGCTTTCTTCACCAGCTCCTTCAGCTCTTCCTGGCTCACATACTTGATATCAGCTACTTCGTCCGGGTTTGGTTTAACCTTCACGTCCCGCACAATGAAGAGCAAGTAGTCAACTGCAAATGGAAGGCCAACAGAGAGAAGGAAGCTTTTAACGTTTTGCGATTGTATTCAAGAAAATAGGAAACATGAGTATCGGGGGGGGGGGGAATGGTATTACGTTCGTGCTCTCCCCATTTGCCATCAGATGGAGCCTTGTAAAGCATGCGTCCCAATGCAGTGAATTCATCGACCGGTACATCTTCAGCTACAATACCAAGCTCATCGAGAAGCTTTCTCTGTGCAGCATTCCTCACACCTGATGAGCATGATGCAAACAGTGAGGTCAGTATAGCTAAGTGAAGCTACAGTTTGCTGCATAGACAGTAAGAAGTACTGAATTGTTTGCCCAGTAGATACCAACCAAGAGCATTTTCCTCGATAAGCTCTGATTCACGGTAAAGAGGATGGCTGCAACAAGTGTTTGTCCACACGAGAGGGAAGGTAACCTTTGTATTTGACCTTTGCTGTTCAAAAGAGAAGAAGGAATTTCAGTAGGATGGCATAGGAGCCAGCTTATCAAGCCCCACCAACCCATCTAAGATCATGAGAGCATCCCATCATCATAGCAACAAAATCTCTAGAATGAATCTTATGATCAAACCTAATCCCCATGTTTATTGAGCTTATTTTTCTCTACAAAAAGAGGATTCTAGATATGACACCCACATGCCTAGTCACATGCATGAGATCCATTAGCATGCAACACTTATCTTGACTTCAAAGCAGTAATAAGCAAATACCTGGAGAAGCAACTCATAGTTCGAGTTGAATAAAAAAACACTGAAAGCCCTGTGAAGCAAATTCTTAGCTTCAATATTTTCCATCAGATGACCTGAGATTTGATAAGGAATCAGTATCTTGAATAGTTGCACAGACAAACATAAGAAGTAAAACAGCCCTTTTAGCAAGGTCATAAAGTTCCCTAAAATATTTGCCATACTCTTTAGGAAGGATAAGCGACGAGCTTTATAGATAATGATTGTAACTAGCTACACCGAAAACTATATGTTCGACACATTCACGGTGAGGTCTAAGACCTTTGATGAAAACTCAAAAGTGTAACCAAAAAAGGAGAAGAACAAAACTAAATTACGTTATGTCAAATCTTGATGTACCAACTGCAACTAATTTCAGTCATAGGAATGAAGAAGCACATGAATAGCAATGGAAAGCTCTAAGAGATCGATGAGACTCAAACCAACTTCACTTACAATTATATTTGCTGTCATGCCCCACAACACGATCAGTTTCATCAACAAGAATGCATCTGCAAGCAAGAATCAAAACAAAAAAGTGAGATTGCATAGGAACATAACTTAACCTGACTATAAACAGTGACAACTTTCATAGGAGAACCAAAGCATGGACGACTTACAGTATCTCGAAATAAATGTAAGTCACCTATAACAATTACTAAATCCATAAAATCATTGAGTATTGAATCAAAGTCAACAAATCAATAGACCTCTATGTTCCAGAACCATGGCTAATCAAACTCCAAATCCCAGAACCTAATTTTCATTTCATCACAACCTAACGACTGAAGACAAAAGGTACTAATTTGGCAACACCCAGAAGAAGGAAAAAATCGAAATCGAAGTAGAGAGGGAAAAAATCAAAGACTTACTCGTCCTCGAACATGAGACGTCTCTGAACAGCATCCATTCCAGCATCTTTAGAATCTGCCATGACTGTACCTGAGAAAGCACGAATATTCGGTAACTTTCTCGGCGAAATAGGAACGGAAACGGATCGGATCGATGAAAGAGGAAGATGGGCAAATCGG